AATTCACACATTCACTCACTCACTCATTAATTCACACATTCACTCTCATTAATTCACACATTCACTCACTCACATTCACTCACTCACTCTCATTAATTCACACATTCACTCACTCACTCACATTCACTCACTCACTCATTAATTCACACATTCACTCACTCACTCATTCATTCATTCATTCATTCATTCACCCACTCACTCATTCATTCATTCATTCATTCACACACACACTCATTCATTCATTCATATATTCATACATACTTTTGCTCAGGTCCCATTCGTTTACATGGAGAGGGTGAGGTGTTTGACCTATACTGCAGCCAGTATTGTTTTGGCTTCACTTTTCAGCATATGTGCGTCACATTTTCCTCCCACCCTCGGCCTTTCCAAAGCGTTCCATGCCCATTTAAATTGTTCAGTTTGCACAGCAGGCCTAAACGTTGAGAAGATCATAAAGTTAAAAGCACTTGCATGTTGCATCTTCTTCACAGGTGCCCGCCAACACAGACAGTGTGATGTGTTTTGGACCGCTGGTTCCTGACGGCTATGCAGTCTGTTACAATCCACAGCAGGATCACGTCCACTTTTCCATCACTGCCTTCAACTGCTGTGAGGAAACCAACGCGGAGAAGCTGGCTCTCACATTGGAACGATCGCTTCATGATCTCCAGGAGTTATTTCAGCCCACAGTTTAGCACCGTCTAGACATTCAGAGATGGTTTTAACACTCTACTCCAGCATTGCGGCAGCTTCAGGAACACAGCCTTTAATATGTGGGGAACAGAATGTACTCCTGGAAGTGCCAGGCTTTGTTAAACAAGTGGTCTTCATGGAAGCTTGCATGAAGTACAGCGCATTTGAGCACCTGAAATGCAGATGTATGATGGACCATTTACTAATAAGAAATACATCTCTATTTTTGGTATTTTAAGAACAGCAATGAAAGCTTAAACTAGTAATCTAATGTAATACCAAACTTAAAGGCGTTTAAAATATGAAATTATCTAATTTTGTGCATTTGGGTCCCTCTACAGCATGCATGAGTTTCAAATAAGTCTGATTTTGTGTGACATGTTACATACTAGCAGTTTGACTTGATGTACACTTCTTCCTCATTAAATGTGTGCATTGTCAGGAAGTGACCAAATATTTAAGTCCCACATTTATATATTTGTGTGAAATCACTGATTGTGTTACAAAATCAGTTATTGTTACTATATATGGGAGATGTCTGTTGCTCATTATGTCCTGGAAAAAAAAAAGTTTGTTTTCTGGTAATAAATTGAGTACAGTGGTAACAAATGGGTTTTCTTGTAGAAACCTTTGCCAGAGTTCTCCAAATGTCCCCTCATTCTGTTTGGCTATATAAAGTAGTTAGGTTGTTTTGTTCTCAAGAAAGTTGCAAACCATTTCATATGGAAGCAATTACCACTTTCTCACGAGCTATATCTTCATAGCTCTAACCATAACCAAATACAATTATTAAACCCTTTCGATTATAAATGTTGTGCTAACTAGTTTTGGTTCAGTATTAATGTTGAAGTGCTACCTACTGCAGTACAGTATAGTCACACCAGAGCGATGCTCTTCCACATCATTTGCTTTTTTAGCTTTCGCTCGCACACTGCTGGCTGGAAATGTGCAAAAATACATTTCTCACAGTGAACGTTCTGCACCAATTGCTGTACAAAATCAGGGAGGACAAGGAGTAAGTGCTGCTAGCTTTGCCGAAATGGTTTCCGGACCTGTTACTGATGCTGTCAGGTCCCGCATGGCCTACTGTCTCGAGGAAAGACCTAGTTTTGAGTGTACTGGCATGCAGAGCTGGGTAGATTACTTGTAATCCGAAACTGTAATTTGTTGTTATGCCCATTTTCAACCCCCTGCCAAATTATTACCCCGCCCCCCTCACTGAAATCACTACCTGATTGCCTAATCCTAACCCCTCCCCCACTCCTAACCCTAACCCTACTTTACTAGGGGGGTAATAATCTGGCGGGGGTCAGAACTCGGCACAACACCGTTACTGATTCCAAATGACATGACAAACATTGTAGTTAGTAACGTAATCCATTACAGTACACATTTCAGGTAATATAATCAAACTACTTTCGGACTACTTTTAGATTACATTAGACATAACTTGTTTATCGCTTTGATTTAAATAAGACAATCTTGCCATATTGATATGATACAAAGTGTAAGAAAATATATCCCATTTGTTGTAATTAACAATATTCAGTGCATTAAACATTACATTATGTGAAGGTTTCCCAAAGGTTTGTAAAAGTACTGCAGGGGGTTTGTGAGTTTAATGAAAAGCTAATAATTAAATTATAAAAATTAAAATCAGTTTAAAGTAATTTGTTTACCTGCTTGTCATGTGACCATTAACCAACATCAGAGAACCATGAACATGCATACGAAGGAATATTCCTCCATACATGCAAATGTGATAATTATTAAAATATTTATTTTGAAGATTTCATGGGAATCCAAGTAAATATATTAGGTGAAAGAGTTTCAGATTACAAAAAAGTTTGGAAATGCCTGCATTACATGTAAATGAGAAATAACATTAATTTGTGGATTTTAAAGTGTTCGAACGTCTAATGACATAGTAATGGATTGTTAAATGAATGATAATTCAAATAAACATTAATGTGTTCATCAGTAGTTGATGCAGTGTTGAAATACTTCTTACATCTGAAATGATTTTTGTAAATCCATCGGTCAAATGCTGTGCAAATCCTGACTAATGACTATTGTGTGAATGTTCATAGTACTGGAAGACTTTTTAAGAGTACTTAAGCTGTAGGCTATTTTAGAAAGAAACATTTAAAAGATGAAAAAGAGGAATTAGGGAGAATCAATAAATTCTGAATAATTTATTGTTATTGTGTGAATAATATGTAGGCATGTAATCAAATTAATAACTGTAGTCTGATTACAAGTATTTTAAAATGTAATTTAATCTAATTACAAGCACTTCATTTGTGGAATCTGATTATGTGATCAGTTACTCCCAGCTCTCCCTTAGAGCCACTTCAGCCCCCTTAAAAGTGCTCTCGCTTAACATGGCACTTTTGCTCACGCTCAGGCTGTTAACTGAGTACAACTCCAATAACAGAAAAGTTGGGATGTTTTAAATGTAAATGCAATTAAATCAAGAATCTGTGAAATGTTAATTCTCTTTCACTTTTATTTAACTGACTAAAGTACAAAGAAAATATTTCCAATGTTTTCACTGGCCACCTTAATTTTATTTTGTAAATATAAACACATTTTGATTTTGATGAGTGCAACAGGAACAAACACACTCCTCACGCTTCTGTTCACAAATAAACTGTGCGCTCTTGTTAATGTTTAGGATATTTTAGCAAATAATTTGCTTTGCTTAATAATAAAATCTACAGTGCATGAATAGATACAGTCTAAATTGTCTAATCAATCTCTCTTGATTTTGTTGACATTTTTTGCTCCTCCTGTGGTAAACATCTTAGAAATCATACTAAGTGAAGTTTTTTTTTTTTTTTTTAGCAAAAATGCAGAAAGTCTAGTGTGAGGGGTAGGGTAAGGGGATAGAAATACAGTCGGTACAGTATAAAAACCTGTATGTGAATGTCCCCATAAAACATGAAAACCCTATGTGTGTGTGTGTGTGTGTGTAATTCAGATTTTTAAATAGCAGAGCTGGGTAGATTACTTACAAATTATAGTCTGTTACTGATTACAGATTACATGATGAAAACTGTAGCTAGTAACCTAATCTAGGTTACTCATTTTAGATAATATAATCTGACTAGATTTGCATAATAACTTGCATAATTATTGTGTTTCATACATGGTCCAATCGCTTGAGAGGTGTTTCCCACCTCAAATTCAGAAGCATGGTTTGCAAATATATTTACATGACACTTGTGAATATAGTCAAAGCTAAATGTTATGACAACTGGGCAACTGAGCACGGATATGACGTAGCGAACGCTTGTGTTGATGTTCTAACCGGAAGCAACACAAACAGATGCATATCGGCCTAAATATGATAGAAGGAGCCGAGCGCACAGCGAAACTCACATACAGGAGCGCCCTATGGATTACTTCTGACCGTATTGTTTTGGTTTTATTGTAAACATTTTTATCTAAATAAGACGTGGTTTTGTTTTATTGTTATTGTTATGATGAAGGGTGCGTGTGTGTGGTCGCTGGTCGCGGTGTGTGTGTTGTGTGTGTGTGTCGCGTATAAACCGGTGATCATCATTCACGGGCTCTTCGACACCTCTGCGGATTTTATCAACCTTCACCGATTCATCAACCTGGTAAACCATTCATCTGATAATATTATTATGTGCTTGCTATTGTTACTCTGTGTCACCAAGAGTATCAAATCTGCACGTTTGCACAGGGTCAATATACAGACAATAACTCCACAATAGAGACGATTATTAAGGACAAAACGCCTCGTCCTTACCATGGTACATACACTGAGAGTATAAAATGGTGTAACTTCGTTTTTATAGTCTACCTAAAATTCTGTCCATTTGTTTAAGGTTGTTATTAATTAATTCTTGTATTTTTGTATTGTTTTTTAGTTTTACTGTAGCGCTTTTTTTAAGAAAAGTGCATTACAAATAAAATGCATTATTATTATTATTATTATTATCAAAATAGTAATTGGCATATTAAACGTACAATACATGAAACTCCAAGATATGCATATGTGGTTTTTCAATTATAAAAAATAAAAATACCGTAGGTCTATTTATTATCTTCAATTATTAAAAAAAAGATTATTTACTGAAATAAAATAATATAATATACATCATTTATTGCTATATAAATATTTTTGTTGTAGCTCCTCATGACTGAAGATGGGAATAACATGTAACATTATTCAAAGAAATACACCGCATGCTGCATGCGTTTATTACAGAGCACAGTTTGTTGTCTGTTTATATGTAACTGATGTGTGTGTGTTGTCTGGTGATCTGTAACTGATGTGTGTGTGTTGTCTGTTGACAGTCTCACCCGGGCACTAATGTGACTGTCCTAGACCTGTTTGACCGCAGCGCCAGCTTGCAGCCGCTCTGGAAGCAGGTGGAGGGCTTTACAAAAGCCATATATCCCATCATGCAGAACTCAGCCGATGGCGTCCACCTCATCTGCTACTCGCAAGGTTTGTAGCTCACAAAATAGTGTTAAGCTGTGTGCTATATTGTGAATATATGCAAGGCTAGAGGCCGTTGTTAAGTTCGATGTGCACCACATGCTTCTTTGCAACATCATGACGTTACGCTATGGTTTGCTGAGCAGTGATAAGAAACAAATTATTTTATTTTTTTTAATGTTGCTGCTCTGGGGTTTAAGCATGGCTGGAGGAGCTGTATTAAACACTAGACAGGACCAGGACTAACTAAAACAAAGGTCCCCATCTCAAATGTTTGATTTTGTTTAGATTTGAAAGAAATACATGAAGTGGAAAGCCAAAATATTACAGTATATTTACTGAGTAATCCTCTATTTTGTAGAGAGGGGCCAAAATGACCATTTTCACCTGAGATTTGGAGGTGAGGGGATAAAAACAATCTTATAAAGATGGCAGCATCATTATTATTATAAACAGCATCATGTTGTTTTTACACAGAGATTGGTGGTCTATTAGTAAAATCTGTTGACTTTAGTAATCTTTGTTGCATTACATGACAATGATGACAGTTCAAAAATGGGGAAAAGAAAGTTTTTCTTTCTTTTTGTTTTGTTTTTCTCCTGAAGTCTGCATGCCTTTAACTCAAGAAGTACTGAAGATATCTCAATGTCCCTGTTCTTAACAAACTCTTCTTTTGGTATCTTAATTGTTAAGGCCCTGTATGCTTCATTTCCAGAGATACAGGGATTTCAGTGTGGCTCCTTGAGTAAATTGTTCAGTTGTACACATTTTCAGTGGTCAAAAACTAAACATGGGTCACTTTGCATTCAGATGATACTTTTTTTTTGTTTTACAGAGGAATGTCTCAAGAACAAATGCTGATTAAATATATCTTCTTTCCATCTATCAAAACAATTGCATAGAACATAACTGAGTGCCACAAATATACTTTTTACAAAGTTTGTGCATGTACCTCTAGAAGTATAATCTTTATTTATGACATATTTGTGATATAATGCAACAAAGATAGCTAAAGTCAACAGATTTTACCAATAGACCTACCAATCTACCAATCTCAGGTGAAAATTGTCATTTTGACCCTCTCTACAAAATAGTGGATTACACTGTAAATGTACTTTCAGCATATGCTTTCATTTACATGCTTTTTTATATGCTTTTAATTCTGTTTGTGTGTCTTCAGTATAAATAAATCAGATGAAATAAAAAATACAGATTATACTTCTGTGTTTAAATGCTACAGTTTTGCATTAAAGTAATGTGAATTTGGTAATTGTGCTTAATTGTCAGGAAAGTACAACAATATCACAATACAAACATTTTAATGGTCTTAAAATTGTTTTCATTTTGTTTAGCCCTCCGATGCGTCTTGTCCACTTTTGACTGAAAAATTTACATTTAGATATTTTTATTAATTTCATTCATAATTGGAATGGTCTGAAGCTTGGTGACTTTTGTGCTGCTTGCTATGTGAACACTGATGGAGTGAAACTCTAAACATTATGAGTGCAAAATAGACACGCAGCATCATACATACTGTACATTAGGGCTGCACGATTAATCGCATGCGATATTTAAATGTGTGATGTTAGTAAAGTATGACAATAAGCATCTGGCAATAGTGGTTTTTAGACAGTTTGCTATTTATTCAAGATAAATAAGTTCAAAATTGATCTTCACATAAATATACAGTCTTGTACTTTTTGGTTTTAATTGAGGGAATAATACTCAACACATTACAGTGTTTTAGATTGCACTTTATTTGAGATCATTATAATTGAAACACTGATATTTAACTTTGGCAAAAAATGTAAAGACATAAATTATATATATATATATATATATATATATATATTTATACAGAGAGCTATACAGGCCTC